TTTTTTTTTTTTTTAATAACCGTGGATGTTCGGGTCAGCTTGCTCGTACCTCGACTAATCCCACGTGGCCCTGAAGTTTACGACCGAATACTCAGCTCAGTGGCCCTAAAGGGACTCTAACTGATGACTATTGGGGAACAAACCTAAGGCCAGACCAATTGAACAACCCCTCAAGGTTGCCAAAGTATTCTACCTATGACAAGGAGTTTTACGCCATTGTTCAATTTCTCCGTCACTAGCAGTATTACTTATTGTCTCAAGAGTTTGTTCTTTATTGTGACCATTAGTCCTTTCATTACCTTAATTCACAACGTCATTTAAGTGAGCAAAATGTTAAATGGATCGAATTTCTTCAAGAGTACACTTGTTTTCCATCATCGAGCCAGGGATCGAAAATAAAGCAGCTAATGCTCTTAGTCGTATCACTACGGTGCTTCATTCTATGAGCACTATTGTGGTGGTATTTGAGCGCTTGAAGGACGATTACCCTAGTTGTCCCGACTTTGGCATCATCTTTCAGGAACTCGTAGATAATCCTTCTCGCGATTATGTTGAAGATTGATTTTATTGGCCTTCCCATAAGAAAGATGTTGCCAGCATTGTCTCTCAGTATCATACGTGTCAATTGGGTAAGGCACAACGTCAAAATATTGGGATGTATACTCCTCTTCCCATTTCTCGTACTCCTTGGCATGACCTTTATATGGATTTCGTTCTCGAACTACCTAAAACTGCTATAGGTCATGATTCCGTTTTCGTGGTAGTCGATGGGTTCTCTAAGATGGCGTGCTTCATTCTATGTTCCAAATCTTCTTATGCATCCCATATCGCTAAGTTGTTCTCCAAAGAAGTCCGTCTTCATGGGCTTCCCGTTCGAGATGTTAAGTTTGTTAGTTACTTTTAGAAGACACTGTGGAAATTGTTTGGGACAACACTTAAGTTTTCGTCTGCTTTCCACCCCAGACCTATGGTCAAGCTGAAGTTGTGAACCATAATTAAGGTAATCTACTTCATTGCTTGGTTGGAGACAAACTAGGTAATTAGTATCTTGTGTTGTCTACTGTTGAGTAAGCTACAATAATTCTGTTAATAGGTCTACTAGTCATAGCCCCTTTGAGTTCGTTCAAAGTTTTCCTCCACATCAGCTACTTGATCTTGTTTCTTTGCCTAATGATTTTTGTTCGATTGCCACTGCTCAAGCTTTTGCTGATCATATTCTTATCGAGGCACGTTCGAGCCTCCCGTGTTGTCGTCTAATATTTCTATAGCACAGTCTGCTCGGCCGCCTCCTTGAGAACCTATTACCACGCTTTCTCTACAAGATATCATTGATGAGGTGCTCGGCGATCAGATTGTTGCTTCCCAGAATTGTGGCTTTCGTAGGTTTCTAGTGTGTTGGAAGGATGGTCCACCTAGCAATGCTACATGGATTACTAAAGATGAGTTCCGTCAGTTGGATGCTAAGTTCTTGGACGCCTATCTGAATTATACCTCGTTGGAGTCGAGTTCTTTTCAACCGGAGGGGAATGATGCAACTTGGAAAGTATATTCGAGGCGTAAAAGAAATTAACATCAATTACAATAGAAGTTTCCATTATCACATTTGATTCATTTTGGTAAATTGATTTTTGTAAAAGGAAAATCCTAATTTCCCTTAGTAGTCGAGATTTCCTTTTTTAGTCGTGTTTTTAACCTAAAGAGGCCCATTGATTGTAATGAGACACTTGATTATTGAATAAAAACTACAATCTTTCCCTCAATTCTCTCTTTGCTTTCTTCTCTTTGTTTGTAGTTCTTATTGCAATCAGCATAGTGGGCCATCAATTTCAAGAATATAGAAATAGCAGGAATTGTTTCTTCTAGCCTGACAAGTAGCCCAAGCCAGGGAAAGAGAGAAATCCTTTTTCCCTTTTTGTGTGAGGGCAGAGAGGGAAGTAAAAGAAACACACTCATGAAGTTGTGGAGTCGATGTTTTAAGACGTTCACCAAGTTACTTCTACCAATCAGCCTTTATCGTCTAGAAAGATTTTTCGACCTTCCATTTTATTTTTATATATATTTAGTCCAGATAATTAAAAACGGAGAAGTGCATTGGATTGATTGTAAAGTGTTTCAGTATATTCATGCTAAGTGATCGCATGTGAAAAAAAAAAAAATCTAACCATGGTCACATTATGCTTAGATGAACCAAGACCCAACTTGCTAGAAGAAACGCCCTAACCCACAAATATATATGCGAGATTGTTATCACATTCATGACCATCACGAAGACATTTTTTATATCCATATAGCAGAAGCACTGCGAACCTGCAGCAATATGCTTTTTTATGTTGTCCACCTTTTCTCCAACTTCAAAATCAGATGGAGCCAGAGATCGAGCTGCATCAGCAAACTCCAAAGCTGCTTCATGTTTCCCCAGCTGCAATGAAGCAGAAGACCATAGCCAGCAACACCAGATTCAGATAGAGAAAATTACATCATTCAAATGTGAAGCATACTGGTGCCATATATAATCTTAGATCCAGAATAATCAAGCCTTGTCATTGATTATATGCAAAAAAAAAAAAAATTATATCTTGAAATAGATAAGGCTATCAGTGATCTACACAGAGGCATTAAGTGGAAAATATCATTATATACACTTCCTGATAAACTTCCATCCAAACAATCTCTTCCAAATTCTACAGAACATATTTCAAGGCTATACAAGGAACCAACCAACAGAGGCAATGCAATATAAGCACAGAGTCAAAACAACCCATATCTGAAAACTGTCCTAGAGGCTAGAACTTTTTGATTCAAGACCAAGTCCCAAAAGTTTTATGAATATCATTAACTTACCTGTGATAATGCCTCAGACATACAAATCAATGCTCTAAATGAAGAAGGATTAATTTTCCGAGCTCTATGACAGTCCCTGATGGCAATGTATGCGTCATTTTTCCATTTCCGCTGTAAAAAAAGGAATGGTTAATCAGTTAAGTAGAGGAACAGTGACAGAACATGGCTAGACATTATTCATATGAGACGTGCAGTTCTTGAAAAACCTTGAGCAACAAGGCTGCACGTATACACAAACACTCATGTACTAGAGTAGGTCCAATCTCATGACCATGACCATCCAAAACTTCATTACAAGCCTCAACTCCATAGTAAAAATCCGTTCCTTCTTTTAAGGATTTTTCTGCAATCTGAACCAACTTTCTGCACTTGTCAAGCTGAGAAATCAAAATTAATTCAGAAACCAAAACCTGTGAGGGCATATTGACTTTGAGTAGAAAAAGGATCCATACCTTGGCAGCCACTCGGTTTCTTACAGGAAAACCATTAAAAAATACACCAGAAATAGATGAGAGCGATTCTACTCTGTTGATCATGGGATTAAAGCTCATAATCTTTGAGACATCTCCTGAGGTATACCTCATTTCACTTCCAGGAGCTGCTGGGAATAAAGTATTTATGAATTAGTAATCCACAGGTCTAATAAGATAATATAGTCAGAGTCAAAATATTAGCTTTGCAAAAAGCTTAATTCAGATCTTTGAATGGTGGGTGGAGAAGCACAGATATGCCAACATAACAACATCAAGATAAAGAGGGAAAAAAAAGGATTCATCAACAAAAGAAGTTGAACAAATGTTAAAATCAAGAAGCGATGTCCACATTTCAAAAAGACATTCTATGGTCAATTCGTCATTACCAAATCTAAAGATCATCAACAAAGTTCAGTTATCAGAATCCATAGAGTACGAAAGAGAAGAAATATTTTTATGCTTCAGATCATCCATTTAGAACCACCAAAATTGATATTTGCAACATAACTAGACTGGAGATCTTTGAAGGCATGGGATGTGTTGAGACAAAGCTTAATACTTCATAGTTTCCAATTTATGAGAGTTCAGGTTTCAAACACATACCAGGATTAACATCCATCAGGTACACATGCTCCCCACTGTAACTAATAAGAACCTCGTCTCTGTTAGTACTGAAAGCGACGTGAGTAAGATGCAAGCTCGAATGTCCCTGAAAGAAGGATGAGATAATATATTGCTACTGGAATTCCAATTTCTAAAAGTGACAATATATACTCACATGAAGGCAACAAAGATTTTGTGTGTGCACGCGCGCAAGCAAGCGCACGGGGAGAGAGAGAGAATCTGTAGGTTTGCATATATGCTTGGTGTACCAAATAGATATATAATTGATGCACCTCAGAAATGAGATTGGTCTATTTAAAAAAGAGAGAGAACTCAGCAATATGAGACAGGTGATGTACCACATTTTTTGAAGCAAAGCATATATAGAAAGATGGTCCATCTCAAATTATAATTCAAGTAGATTGTCACTATGTTCATAAATCTTGCATGTATAAATTCATTGGTCAGCATTCTTGTCCAATATCTTGACCAAGATTGAAAATGATACTCATGATCTGCTAATACAGAAAATGATCATTGTTCTCTTCCAATGTCAATGCTATTCTGAGAGTAGCCTGTCCAAAATTACTTTGCTTGATCCAACATTCAAAATCACTGCAAACTCCAGTATGAGGGTAGTGCATTGGCATAACTCATAGAGAACCAAATATTTTAGGTAAAATGCTTTTCGAAGAGGTCAAAATCAAATACCTTTGTCATTCTTCTTTTGCAATATGTATGACTTAAAAGGGTCATAAGATCTCCCAAAAGCAAGAGAAAAAATGGGAAAACCCACCTTTCGCATATATAAACTTTCAAGTGAAGACCAATATGTTAAATACGCACTAACACTCGCATAATTTGCTTAAAAGGGTTCCATATCCAACACATCAAGGCCATGTTCTTACAATTGGAAGATCGTGATGCATCTATTAACTGATAGAAAAAAATAAATATAAATAAAAGCAAAAATGTTAAGATGCATTTTATAACAAATTACAGAGTGCTCAAATGCAAGATAATTGTGGACTAACACAGTCAGAAAGATGCATTGGGCAAAAGTAGTTAACACAAGGAGGCGGCGGCAACATTTTCTGACTAGATGACAATGGTGGCAGCATTCGTCTATCATACAGACGAGCAAATGCATCACTGCAAGCATTATCCACAGTGATTAGTTGGAACAACAAATAATTGCTGTACAACTGAGTTAATCGCGGAGTACCTCCCACCAACAAGGAGCAAATGAGGCCTAGTAGGACTGATGTCACAAGACTTCAGAGCGAGTGATTGCTTAGGAGGATCTGCCAATGATTTTTTAGCTCCACAACGTAAATCAAGCTGCCATCAAGGAGTAAAATATTTTAACTAGCAATCCTCCTGATAAAGATTTTCAATATATGTATATACTAACAATTTTATAATGGGCATTAATGTAAATAAAAGAGACAGCTAGGAGAAGAAAATTCAATTTTTGTTTAACCAATATAAAGAAAACACTTAAGCAGCCGCCACTGCAGATCATGCTCAAAATAAGCCAAGAGTCTTAAAGAAATAAAATCATCTTGACAGAAAATGTGTATCTGTTGGGGGCGTGTGGATGGATGGAGGCTCCCTTTCCTAGTAAATGGAAATTAGCGTAACAGCATCTAGTCCAACTTTTCTGATACATCACGTCCACGAAAAAAAGAGTTATTCTGTTCATTCAGATCAAAGTCCTTCATACAGGGCGACTTTCTTAATACCTTCCTGAATGCTTCAATCTCTGTGTCAACTGAAATGTCTTCCTCTCTCGCTCTCTAGTTTCCGTGGAGATGGTAGGCAATATTATCAACGAACCAACCAATTGTTGCTCCAAGTCATTCCATTAACCAATAACACATCTTGTATTAATTTTATTTCTTTGGATTTTAAGATAAAATACTGGCAACAAATGGTGGTCTATGTTCACTTATGACCTTAAGACTACCCCCAGGCCATCTGTTAGCTTTCATGTTAGAGCTAGTGGCATCTTCCATTATAGGATGATAATACAAACTGTTGTTCGATGTGAAATCCTCCATGGCTGCAGCTTGAGCTTATTAAATGGTGTTGGTGGTGATATGGTGATTATACACACAGATGGGGTGGAAAGAAAAGTGGTTGATACTGCCTTGACGAACAGAGAAAGACAGACATGTATATGAAGATAATAGTTGATCCCAGATGCAAAAAGAAAAAATAAGCTAAAATCTGGGCCATGGTCATTTACCACGGACGGGGGAAAATTGGCCGAGCTATAAGAAAAACAACACCTTTGGGTTGAATGCTTTGAGTTTTCTTCCCACCAACTTGCTCTTTCTTGGTTTACATTGGGGTACAAACCATAAAAAAAAATTGGGCTATGCTATCGTAAGATGAGTCTTAAAATCCTCTAAACAGCAGCACCACTCAATACAATACAATTTATTCATGATATGCTCAAAACAATATGAAAATGTTTAGGAGGCCATAGAGTAACATGTCCCTTCATCATTTCACTGAGCCTGGGGAAGAAAGCAAAGGAAGAAAACAGAAATATATGAGGACTTAGAACTGACAAGAATATTACGACATTCTTGGTGAGAGGACCCAGCAGGAGGACATGAAACACCCTCACGCAGATCATGCTGCCTCAGTGTCCCATCTTCACTGGCACTCCACACCACATTAGGGTTTCCAACTTCCACCTAAAAGTAGAATAGAAATGGAAATCATTATTAATAGTCAAATTAAATACATGATATACCCACTTCTAAGACACAGAGAGAAGAGTTTACAGCTAATTTTTTGACCCTATTGGTGTGACATTGAAAAAGTGCTGATGGGCTAATAACATTCTCGTCCAATCCTCTCCCATATAGACGTGACAAATTAAAGAGGCGGACCTGCAAAATATGAAGCTGGCTTAAAGTACAAAATATAGAAACCACTGAACCGAATTAACAGCTCAGATTTACATTTTGAATCAGCCATCAAACATTACCTCAGCATCTCCTGCTCCAGAAACAACCAATTCATCTGAAGTTTCAGGAATGAATTTTGTACAAAATATGTTAGTAGAATGACCTGTCTCAATGGAGTGCAAAAGTTTGCGGCTTGAATATGACCAAACATTAAGCTGCAAAAAATGTGGACCATTTCTCAACTTAAATCCAGTTATATACACTCTATGCATCAGTTTCATCAATTAATCAAGCCCCAAACTGAAACCTTCTGTCAGAAGGATAAAAGAATATTAAGGGCAGAACCTGCTCATAAGGAAAAAGATGATTCTCAAAACGGCTCAGGTGCCAAAAGGAAACCTTCTAGATTAAATACAATTAATTATAACAATCAAGTCCCTAAGCTGGAATAAGGAAGTTAGGCTTCCAGGAAATTAGGGCATTTTAGTACTTATTTCGTACTTCCAAAAATGTTATTCGTGTTTTCTTTCTTTAACTAGTTTTTGCTTCTTTAAGCTATTTATTTCATCTCCTTTTTGGCGATTTTGTTTCTACTTAACTGATCTCCAGTTTTTCAAATATCCCTCACCCTATTCAAAGTAACCAACTATATTTCTTCCATAAATGACCATTGACCATTGAATATGTAACCTATTCAAAGACTTCAATAATAATTTTTAAGCTTACAGCTTAAAGATAGACACTCATAACCCTATGTCACACCAATCTCATATTCTCCTTATCTGTCTTCAATATAATCATTTTTTTGTAGAACTATCTCTACAACAATCAAATTGATAGAATTTTTCTAATTTTTTTTTTTTTTT